GACGCATTTCGCGGCCGCCATTTATGAGACCACATCTCACTCTGTACAGACGAGCCGGCTGACTGTGAGATGTTTAAGAGACGTGAGATCCCTGGATGATTTCGATGTTCATCTGGCAGTGAAGATATGGCAGATCCACGGTCAGCAGAGGTCGGTATTTGACATTTTGTGGGCAGTATGCGATCTTGGGATGCGCTTTGGGCCGAGCTTGGAACCTTTAGGAAACCGAGGCTAAGAGGTTGAATGGTCAATGATGGCGCAGAGCATGGTCGACGTTTACCAAACGGTAGAAACGATGTAGATGTCCAAAATGAGCTCTGAGGGCCTGTGGTATGTTGGCAAATAGCATCCGGCCAAATTGACTCTAAGGACTTCGCGGCAGTATTAATCGGCGATGTCGTATGACTAGGGATACTCTTCGCTGGGCCCTTAAAAGACCGAGCAAAAAACGGGTGGATAGTTTTAGAGTGTGAGATCTCCAGAGATGGCGAGGAGCTCAACTCAATTGGAACATTCTCACTGCCCAACAGGGGAAAACTAGAGGGATCTGTGTCGTCCGGGACAACAATAAAAGACTTCGTGGTAAAGTTATTGGTATCATTGGCGGCTCTATGGTTGACAATAGGGGATGAAGTCAAATCAATGACAGTTGGTGTAGGTCCCCCCGTGACAGTTTTCATGGGAGTCATTACAGGTGGTAAGTTCTGTAGGAAAGAAGGCTCTCCGCCTTCAGCATCTAAGCGGAAGTTAGGTATGCTATTTTGAGATGTCGTAGCAGCGTTCCGTGTCTCCAATTTCTTCGAACGCGGGGATCCGCATTCTCCATTCTCCACAAGGTGGGTCACCACATTACCTTCATTTGATTTATGAAAGGCTTCTGGGATGGGTTCCGCGGTCTGGTCAGTTATTTCCAGACGCACCTGCCCTATGAGCATAAGTTAGTCGTAATGTCAGAATTCATGATAAATTTAGAGAATTAAAGAGTCCCACGCTGTGATTCCTCGATGAAACTTCCTCCTCTCTTATGTTGGGTGGAGCTCAGTTCAGAAGGTGAATTCTGCAATTCTGAGCGACATCATTACACGGACAGCAAGTTCTACAGCTATTTTGCCCACCATGTTGAAATTGAGAGGGAGGCTGCTGTTGTGGATCTCCTTTCCCTGCCGTTACATTTCCAACTGTGAGTTCTGACCGTTTCTTATAAAATTGAAGTAAGTTAGCCTGCCGCGGAAGTCCCTGTAGAAATTCACGTGCAGCTGAGCTATCCTGTCGAATTATTGAATAATGACGGACACGCATACCGCAGTTTTTGAGGGAGGTTTTGTTGCAGACGTGCCTTTCTTTCCCGCCATCGATAGTCACGTCGGCCGTTTGTCGTTGAAATGTATATAGACAATACGTGAGTGTGAATGCGGTAAAACGCGTACACAGAGGTCCACAGTCCTAAAATTAGAATTCACTGCACACGCTAACTCAGTTGCATTGGCAATGCATATTTTATTACCATAATTATGCTATAAACAAAAACATTTCGAATCGATGACGACTAAGCAATTACCCCGAAGGATAAAATAGTTAACAGATGTTTACGTAAATAAGCATTTATAGTAGTACAAATGGTGGATACCCTCGAGTTTAAACCTCAATCCCTTCCAAATTGGTTCCCTTGGAGAGTTAATGTCAAAATGGAATTCTTGAAGAATTAAACACCTTGACTTACAAGCTTTGGTAATCTCACATATACGTCAGTACCTGTATTATACGAGAGTTAGTTACGAGGATCATCCTATAATTGCGATACCACATACCCCAGCCATCCATAGGAACCAGTTGCAAAGAACCACCGAAATATCTAATGGTATCATATCTGTTAAATTCCGTCCCATTTAATAATCTCAAAAAATTACCCTGCAAAAACGTTACTCATAGGAAGGCCAATGCCGATATGTGGCAGGTTCTCCGTCGACCCAACTCGTTCCCGTAGTTCAGAGCTTACATCAACGGGTAGTTTAGCTACTTGCTCGCCAACAGTACCCTTGATTCCTCTTGAATTAGAGATGGCGTCTCGCAGGGCAATAAGGCGAACATCTTCCAGCCTGCCGGCATTTCGCAGATGAGAGAAGGAGAAAAGATCCGATGGCGCTTGCACATACGGATTCGCGGAGAGTCCACCTCCTGCAGTAACAGTAGGGACGGCATTAATGTTAAAGCAGGAAACGAGAATCACCTTCATCCGTTATCCGGATAGAGACATCATCGGGGCTCGCGACAATCGTGGCTTTGATGGACCCTGGTGGTTTGTGTAATTCTTTGTTGTGTTTGATTGTAAAGCGCAGCGCCTAGAATCATTATTAGGCCAAGGAAATATGCACTGCACACTTTCTCACATTCTTCAATAATTCGAACACAATATAGTCCAAATGGTCCTTAATATATGAGAAGCGAGTGTCCCGATCACCATCGATAATAACCTCCGGCCAACCTTCTGTGAGGTCGTTACCATCTTCCATGCACCGGCTGTCCAGGTCTAAGACATGATGAGGACACGATCGTATTAAGGTTACGCAATGTTCGATGCTAGATTTGACAGAGAGATCTGTATATATTATGCCGACATTACCCTGAGCTTGGTTGTTGGCTGGCGGCGCTTTCGATGAGCGTGACTCCCGGAAGGAAGCAGATAACGCTAGATGGTGCTCTGCAAGAACACGACGAGATATTCGAGATACCAACATCCTGCGCATGAATGAGTCAAGTTGCTCAGGTAAAAGATGGTGTGATGCGAGTGATAGCCCTAGGTATAAATTCGGAATGACGGGAAGACTGTGAATTGTACAAAATTAAAAATACAAAACTAAATGCGCAGATTGACCAACTGTTCATCTAGCATTTCTTTTAAAAAAGTACAAAATGCTGCATTATCCTCCAATGAGTTGATTTGTGGATAACGTCGAAACCTATAATGCCACATAAAAAAACAATGATACAGGCCATATTAATAGACTAACTTCTCGAAAGCCGACCAATAAAGCTAGAATAAAGAACAATCAGTTGGAGCAGATGAACCTTCGCTTGCTGGACGCGATACACACCCTATACATTGCGGCCACTCCTTCTCGAGTCACGACAGCATATGGTAGAGCCTGCATGTCTCTGTAACGCACATCTAAGCTGAAAAGTGATTAAAAGATAATGCACATACCTTATTCTGTGAGAAAGTCGAACGGGGAGCTCAGTCCGCACGTAGTTTGCGCTCTGCGAAGCATGAGTCGAGCCGAACAGCTAACGAAACCTTGCTACCTTGATGAGGCGATCTTCATTCATGGATTTACCATAGAACACCTAGAAGAGGGTCTCTTCGATACGAAGTTACCGCAGGTGATACGACTCGGCCGTACCAATTGCCTGAGAGTCAACGGCTTCGCCTTCCGTGATGCGTACAATTCAAGCTGCTTATTCTGATAGAAATGGAGAGACCCTTGAAGGTTAGCTGAAGACTGTCTTGTTATTACAGCAGGGTATTTGACATAGGATATGAACTGCATCCGACGATGAAGTGTCGAGAAAAGAAGCATAGATATGATGCCATGAACGACGAGTCAAGTCAGAATGCACCAAGGGACTGGCACTCACCGCTTCAGCCGTTGGCCTTACTTGTAAGTCTGTCGTCCTTAGTCGTGCTTGAGTCCGAAAACATATAAGTATACTAGGTACACGATACAACCATCAATGTATGTATAAGACTGATTTTATTATAATTTTACATGGAACCCGTGAATTCGAACAAAGTGATGGATCGTTGTAAATATAACTACAATAATCCTTCGGCTTTTAAAGCACCAATAATCAAGAAGGCAGCTCTGCGATCTCTATCAATGCCCTGCCAATCTCCTTGCTTACTTCTCGACGGAGGAACACCATGGATATAAACACCGTCAAGAACTTCTTCATCGTCCTCCAGGTCGCTATTGCCATTAGTAGGATTGGTTTCTTCTATTGACGAGTCACCAGAATACAAGACTTCATCCCACTGACCAGGAGGGATTGTCACGGCAACAGTTCGTGCATCTGAAAGACGAGGTAGAAGGGAGGTGAGAAGATTAGAAAGAAGCTCCGATGTACCGTCTGCAGACTGCACAGGCATAGCATGGAGAGGTAGATATTCGGCCTGGTCTTACTTCGGTCATACAGGAAAGAATAATGACGATCAATCCACAAACCTCAAGTAGCATTCCGCGTACAGTGCCACCAGCGAGGACGACGTTTCCCACTCGTACGAGCCAATCGGTGCCAATTGCAAAAACACTGCCTTCGACCGAGAGTTGTACACTCGTTGTACCCAGATTACTCTGCCCACGATGCTGTCCAGCTAGTTGTCGGGCTGATTGCCACTGAGCCCGTAATTGTGTTAATAGTAATTCCAGAGATTGTGGCGGGTTGACCGTGACATAAGTTGTTCGATAGTGGGGAGGATATACGTCAACACTGTCACTAGTTTGCTGGTTTGCGAGAGGATTCTCGGCTGCAGCTGCCAGAATTTCTGCTCTAGTGGGAGCTACCGGATCATCAATTAAAACGAAGGCATTCTCATTCATAGTGACAGCACACATGGTGCGATCAGGGAGAACGTGTCCTTCCGAACCATTTTGAACTGGAATTGGACGATAGGATTTAACTGTGAGCATCCACTTGCCCCGAGGCGTGCCCTGAAGGCGACGTAAGAACTGAGGATCCAGCAAAAAATACTGTTCGAGCATACACCATGATTACGAATAATGTTGTCATTAATCAGCTCAAACCCATTGGTAGGTGCATTGATCCAACGAGCTAGCCTGACAATATTTAAGCAAACGCTTTGTTGAGCTATCGATGACTGAAAACTCACCCAGTGAAGCCCATCAGTAACGTGCAACTCGAAACTCGATACAGTGGTTGCACGCGTGCGCATGCTACATAATGCTTTAATTTTTAGATTATGACTATTCGTCTCTCCTAGAGAAGCATTAATGGGGTAGTGGTAACCTTAGTCGTTGCCATGTGCTAGATCGACTAGCCACGAGTTCGATTCTCGTTTAATGCAAATCTTTTTGCTCCTAGTTGAACCCTTTCCTTTATTTGGAACTGTTTTGATCTTTCATCACAAGTCGAACTTCTAGCTGTCTGGTGCTACAGTGTCTCTTCATTTCCTTTCATTTTTTCTTTCTGCTTTCGCTTTCATTTGCTACGCTGATGCAACGATTACGACGACTCTCACTTACCCTTGGAATTGTTACCAAAGTGCGTATGCACCATGACCCCACACTGAACTCTAGTACAGATGCGTTTCCTTCAACCCAATCATCGCAACCACAGTCTGCACCCCACTCGTTACCTTGCAATGTCATTACCCGCACTCATACCAGGTCACAATCGCCCACTCGCGGCACCCATAGCGACTCTGAGGCACATCCTGATAACTCAAGGAGCATTGGTAAACGAAGCCGACGACTTGTTAAGAAAAAACCTGTCAGCTCTGTACGTCGTAAAGAAGAAGTCCGGAAGCCTCAAGTACAAAGTATCACAAAACTATCTGAAGCATTTCTCACAAACCTCCCCGAGGCGCAAAGACAGAAGCAAGATTCAACCCAGTCACAAACACAGCCATGCATATCACTTTCTACTACAAATCAACCTGTTCAGCCCTCCCTCGCTGTTTCATCCCAAAGACAAATGCTCAATCTAGGCCTGCACGAGCCTACTAATAGCGATAGTTTCCTGGACTCACCTGTCCCCGAGCCTAGGCCTATTTCTCCTGTTCCCCTATCAATGATTTTGGAGGGTGATGAGGCACCAAGTATCAGGGTGCGCACTCCCAGTGTGGGGACTGCCCACTCACAAGGGAAGGGAAGTTTATATTCTCCGAGTAGCATTGACTCTCTGTACTCTCATGCTCAAAAACCTACGCAGTCCGGTATACAGTTGGACCGAGAGAAAGAGCTCGAGGCATCACGTACAATTGATAGACCTAGCAACCCAGAGCCGCCTTCACTTCCTTCTACACCCCAGCATTCGCATTGGAGCCAGTATAACCAAGCGAAAATTCCCATTTCGCCACTTACATTGGGGGCTCCCTTACTCATACAATCACTCCCTCGTCCTCCGTCACCAATCGAGCGTGCGGATTCACCAGCAGATGCAGATGCAGAAACAGAAGATGGTTATGACACCGCTTCAGAAACATTCGACGGGAGGGATGATGGTAATACCTCTTTACGCTGCAGATCACGTTCGTATTCAGACTCAGATGTTTACTCGCTGCAAACATATCGATCCTTTCACTCATTTTCTCTCGGAGACACCGACATCGATGAGCGATATTCTATTCCAACGCCGACGCTAGGAGGTGGTGAGTTACCTGGCCACAGAGGTCACATAAAAGACGAGGAGACAGAGTGTGGTATGCCAGACGGACCCAGTGTCGTCGATGTTCAGGAGGAAGAGGGTGCCGGACATCCTGGCAGTGTAACAACTGAATACAGCGGAGGAGAGGGGGTCCAAAACATTAGACAAGGAGACGCAAGATGTATCTTTGGTGGTTTGTGGGACATTGAAACTGGCACAAGGGAGGAAGTTGTCGTTTTGCAACCGGGAAATTCCAATTCTAGCATGAAGGAGAAATACGAAAGCTCTCAGGTCATTCCCGTTTCAGACCAGGCTACCTCCGACATACTCGACCAGGCGATCAACGAATATCCAACATCTCAGCGTGAGACGGTATACTACTCTCCAGCACCCTCTCCCCTGGATGTTCATGTACCTTTGCCTGTGGATGGTGTAGATGTATTGTTAGACTCACCTCAGACTCCAAGCGTCTCGGAATCACCACTAGATTCTTGTAATATTGCATCAAATTCACCTGTAATTGTAACGGATGGTGGTTTGGACTCAACCCAGAAGAATACCACGGGTGTCCCACAGCCCTTGTCACTTGAAAACATACCTTTGCATTTGCCACTTAATTCCCGGTCAGAACCAGGCTCCCTCTTACTGCCATCACAGATATCAGATGTATCTCAACCACCCGATGAAGGCTTAGAGAGCCACTCACAGCTTCCAAAAGCCTTACATTTTCCCACATCGACAGACGAGGCAGGTTCGAGATCACAATTATCCACCTTGAACACCGATAACGATCTGCATGAATCGAGGACAAGCACGAATCACTCATCAACCGATCTGTCACCAGAGTCGCAGGACACAATAGTCGATAATCTGGAGGATGTAGACTATTTTGTGGAGGACAAAATAATTATATGTCCCCATGTACCATCCTCACCCAAAAGCGCAGGCCCAGATGTCGTCAATGAACGCTTCATTGGGGCGACGCCTTCGGATATACAACATTCAAACTTTAATAGTACAAGTGGAGACCATAAGTTGTCGCAAGGCATGTCTCGCAATGAAATGCCTGAACCCATCCAAACTTCCACATTTGTTGTAAACGAGAAAGAGTCGTCGGAAACGACAAGTCCGTCCACCCCGGTATTACCTTCAACAGCAGAGGCATCGGTAGCAGATGATGGCGATTGCAATCTATCAAGAGACGAACGGCCATCCCCGCCTGTACGCCTCCCAACCCCCACTGCTTTTGGCGTGGGTACCGTCAGTGGCCCTCTCCCTCCAGGTGCAGCAGCGCCCACGCCAAACGTGGCCCCGGTGATACTTAGCATCGCGGATGCACTCCAGACGGCTATTTCGCTGAATAGTACCAGTAGCGTCGGTGGGAGTGGGAGTGGTAACGTCGGATCTGTATCAGGACGGTCTACGCCAGGAACATTACCGCAGATAATAGAATTAGAAGAAGAAGAAGAAGAAGAGGAGGAGGAGGAGGGGGGTGATCTGACAGCCCTGCATCCACGTACGCGACCAGAGGGATCAGAGGTGAGATTCCTAAAAAGCTATGTTTCAACAACTCTTACTGACTGTTTTTATCTTTTCGATATTCATTTTAGAGTAATGATACACTTTCAAGTGGTGACAGGAGGGAAGCATTCACAGACCACTCTAGAGACGATGCAGTAGGCTACCTTTTGCCCCTTGCACATAAGTATTTAAGCGCTGACTTATTTCTTCTTCTCTCTCAAGAATGGTGAAACGTTTGTAGTGGGCAGTGGGGTGAAGACTTTGCGTCGGACGCCAGCTCTCACTCGCACTACGATGCGGAGTGCGATAGACTTGTCTGCACCATCTACTCATTCTAGTGAGACGTCATCCAGACCCGGACTGTTCTACAACGGTGCGAGTGCCTCAGACTCTCATCTGGCCGGACCCTCTCCCACTATCTCACGTATCTCACCTGTAATGTTCACCTCCATTAGAAACCCCGCTTCGACCACAGCCCCACTCCCTTTATCTTCGACCCCGTCCACACTGTCCAATTGCACTCCGTCATCCAGGCTTTCCTCCCCCTCCCCCTCTTCCATTGTCCCATTGACAGGCGGCTCGAGCCGCCGCACACGCACTTCGTCCCTCACCCAATCATGGTCATCCCTGACTCGCTCCCTCTCGTTCACCGTCCGAGGGCGTAACATTCTACGCAAGCGTGAGCCACATTTCGCTATCGTCACCCCCGAGGAAGCCATTGGTTTGGACAGAAGACAGTGGGACGTCGAACCATGGAACGGGAGGAACTCTGGGATAGGCTCGTTAGCTTTAAGCGGGTCCTTACAACAGGTTAGATCAAAATCATTGGACGTGCCTGGGCGAGAGGGCGCTGAGGAGAGAGTGACATTGCTACCGTTAGCTGTTGGCTCTGATGTTCAGGTGAATGTGTCGAACCCGGAACAGGATGGATACGAATCCCTGCAGCCACACGAGCAACAGCAGTTAAAACGGGTCTCTCGGAAATTAAGCAAAAGAAAAAAGGCTGCCACTGCGCCGACACTGATATCTGTCACAGGATAAGGTGATCATCTCTGTCTCGGCTTGTGCCTTGTTCTTTCTGATTTCACTTTTTCGAGCCATACGATACCCGCAATACCTTCTCATATAGTATGATGCATGTCCATGCATTTTCTACGCCTTTCATTCACGGCCCATTTAAGCTCATCCGATTCGTGTGTCATGTAAAGCGGTATCAACACGGTGTTGAATCCATATAATATTAGAAGTACTACTAGTTTGCGTTTTCAGGCTTCTCAAGAGAATCCTATTGCTGTATTTGTTGTAGCATAAAAAAAGTTGGACAGAACATCATGTGAGAGAGAGAGAGATGGGGGCATGTCATGCAGTATGGTACATAGAACGGGAAATGTCACAGTGACATCGCGACGCGTGTGATGCGACATGGCGAAACGCAAAGCAGACTATACTCCAACAGCCACTACTCCTCGAACACGTTCTAGCGCATGTCTCGCAAATAGTAGCGCTACCACGCCTACATCCCCGAACAAGCGACCTAAACTCTCTACACCCGTTGTGAAAGACAATGGCAAGCAACAACCACACTCAAGTCATGTAGATGAGGACGACGGCAGCGAGGATGAAATTAACATCATAAACAGACCTAGTCAAGAGGCAGACTCGATGAGAGCGACCCCTCACCTGCCTTCGGTTCTAGTAGCAGAGAGTCCTGCACGGTGCCGAGAAGTCATGGATGGGGTGATCATTACCACTCCAAAGCACCTTTCCGACGCGTCAAATGTTCAACTAGGCCATGTGCATGGTACACCATCGCCGTCTCGACGGCAGGCTGTACCCCACGAATTGTTGGGGTTGAAAACGCCTCGCAATGAATCGCCTTCACGAGATTCACCAGTGGATCGAAGCTCACGGAGTCAGGGGCACTTGCTTACTTCTCCTCCATCCAACTCCACCGAGGAGCAAAATCATTCTCTAATTTCCACATCTCCCCATAAGTTTGCGTCGTCTTTTCAACGTCCTAAGAGCTTGCCGTCACACTTGATTTCTCATTTCCATTCTCAGAAACAGACATTACTACACGCTCTTCAGAATCCTCCCTTGGTCAAATATGAGCACTCGCCTTATTACGCAGTGCATGATCTATTGGCAGAACTCCTGAGGGGAACTATGGAACGTAAT